CTGGAAAGCTAGTATAATATGACTTCGCACTAAATACTAGAAGTAACTGAAATTTTAGCTTTAACTCTGCCCAACTAAGGACTCGCATCCGCCTTCTTCACTAGTCCTTATTTGCTTTCGATGTGTTGTGGTAAGCCTCGCCTACTTCTGGCTCTATCCACTAATCCCTAATTCTTCGTTATTCTCTATCCAGTTGTTTCTCGGTCTCCGAAACGTTTTGGAGCCGGATTATGGTGGTAGCGTTCTATTTTTTGCAGGGATGAAAGCGACTCATTCTCCCAGATCATTTGCTATATCGTGACGCGTCGATACGCGGAGGTGGCGCAAGCTCTACAGTGGTGGACCATACCGCTACGGGAGGGACCACTTCAGTGAGGATGAGCCCGGACGTTGCCTTTGAGGACGCTGTCAGTGCTTATTCAATATACTTCATCTACTCCTTGCGCATCTTTCACGAAATCAGCATCACCTTGCCTGAAACGGAACATCTCAGCAAACTTCTTACCTCCAAGTATGGCATCACTCCAAATAAAGCCGATACCCTTTCTGTGACTGCATTGTAATCGAGCGATGGATGAGTGAGCTTGATGTGATTCACCAATGCTGCTTGATACTTCTTCAAAGCTGCGTCAACCACGATACGGTCAGGCGGCGGAAAGTGGACATTCGGGGCTGAAACATAAGTGTTCTACTAAGAAAAATGACGAGAATCATCTGTCAGTACTCAGCTAGTTTTTGCTCCATCTACTCCACATTGGCACTAAGACGCGCAGTCGAATTGAGAACTAGTGCTGCTCCTTCATACAATGCTCGATCAAGGGCGCCATGAATTGGTACTTACAATTACATGGGCAACTTTCTTAATAAGTTCTGCTCATCAGCCATGGGATTCTGCGATCATGCGATCATGCGATGCATCTGTGCAGGATGATATGATACACATCTGGCGAATCAGAATCGCAAAATCGCAGCGTTGCAAGCTCGTGAACAATGACTGCGGTCTGATACGCCGCATCATTAAAATTTTTTGATCGAAGAAGTCGTCCCTGAATAGAGCAACTCATGAGCGGTCTTGTACAATGGGAGAAAAGTCATCACGTAAACCGACGTAAACCTGAACATAAATTAAATTCAAAATTCAAAACTCCTTGAATCATGGTGGTAACGATATGACGAGTTGCAAACGAGTATAACGAATTGCAGAAATTTTTGATATTTCCTGAACTGCGAATTACGAGACACACTCGGATTAGGCGGTTTTCTCGAAAAAATGATACAGCTCATCTCTTGAAAAATACCACATAGTAACCAGAAAATAGGAAGTCTTGTTATTGGATAAAAATGACACCACTGTCAACTCTTCGCTCTATGGATACCATCGATTTAAGATCACTGAGTTGCCCAGAAAGTCTTACGACCATTGAACAAATTTTATAGGAAAAAACCAAAACGCTTATCATTTATCTCGGTGTTTGGGGCACATGGAGGCTTCGAACAGCTATTTGCAGGAAACACCAACCTGAATCATGGCATTTTTAGGGCTCTCGTATGCTAGAGCTCCTACAAGTTTACTCTGTTCAATTCGCAGCCTACTTGTCAAATTCATTGACCATTCCTTTTTATCTAGCTTCGGGCTCTTGGACATTTCCTTCGATGGAAGTCAAACGGCAAATTTTTGGTGACGTGGAAGGAACGACGTCCTACTGAACTTCCTGAAGTGAACGACTGCTACCAGTCGGGAGATGGCAACAACGCCAAGCTGCATCCACTCGATAATTAGCGAATCAAAGCAAGTATGAGGCAACCGCTCGGGTACCGTTTGAGTTGCGCCGAACTGAAAAGGTCCACCGAATACACGTGGCCGAGCCTTTTTTTATTTTTCATCAGAAGAAATCTGGACAAAATAATGATTCATGAAGATATCCTGATCTTTATCTGAAACGTACAAGCCTCCTTAGCGGCAAACTTTGTTCATCATTACAGATGACGTTCTAGCTTCGCTGCACCTTGAAAGAATCCTGTAACTTCTTAAGTTTTCCTTCCGATCTTGCTTAGCCTGAAGGAGGTGAACTTGTCCGTTTGATATACTAAATGATAAACTTGAATACTGTGCAAAATTTCACTATCACGTGAGCACGAGCAAGTTCCCAATAGCTTCTTTCGTCTGTTCGGTCACTCTTGGGCAAGCTCTAACATCACATTTTGCTGCTCTTCTTGACCATGTTCTGAACCCGCCGCTCGCTGTTAGCCCGTAGCTTACTCACGATTTTAATTTAAACCCCTTTCTCTGGGGCATGCTTTAGCGTTTCTGGACGGGTCTTGGCCAAGTCCTGTCTCTGAGGGCCTTGTAATGATCGTTGAGGGCTCTCAGTCTGGCTTTCTGGCTAGCGCGGCACAATTGCGTTCAGCTGGACAGGTCTTTCTACGAAGCTTGGAGAATGCACAGTGTTTTCTTCTACAGAGCAATGATTAGGCAACACAAATTTACTCAAGCGAAAGTACACATTAGTTTCGCTCCCGGAATGTTACATCGAGGGGCACAGATACACCGCATGTAATTGTTCAGCCAAGAAGATTAAAGTTCATGCGGGCAGTAGAGCTTGCGAAACTAATATAGTGATAATGCGGCCGAGATACGTGGCGTTTGTGACTGTCGCAGAATCATCAACATTACTTGGAAAGGGAGATTAAGTGCGCAAATGAACGGTGCATGGACGCGAAGGTCGTTTGTCAGCTTCGGCGACTTTGTTGTGCGGTGTCTGTCGGCGTTGGCTTATAGTCATACCAGTATTGTCTCTTGGTGGCCATCGACGCTTCTTGTTTCCTGCCTTCCGCACTCGTAAGGTCAACGTTATGTGAATGAGTGCGTATGCACAAACTGGGTATCTTACTAGCCCCAGAGGTGTTGTCAACAATCCCGAAATGCGCGCTGGCAACGAATTCCTAATGACTCTTAGGCGCCTTAGGTTTTATTATCAAATTCGTCCAACTCTTCTTGCCGCTTACCTCTCCACTCTCCCCCCTGGAATTAATAAATCGGCGTCAAATATCTAGATTAACTGTTGCTATTTGCAAATTGGGCTGGGCCCGGAAACGGAGCAGCGTCTAATACAACAGTTATACATCTCGTAGGAACATTTTCATCCGCCTCTCTTCGCACCCCCTAAAAACGGGTATGCCGCTCTGTCAGCGCGTTTATTTCACGTGCTGTTTTTCACGCTGTTTTTTTTACAGTCGGTTCTGCGGATTCTAACGAAGAAATGATAGCTTCCTTCGCTTAGTTGAGATTCGTGCAGTAATCTGTGTGTCCTTGTTATTAATGAAAGAGAATTAAGCTAATTTCGAGAGCTTCAAAAACCAAAAATGCGACCATAGAATTTTGGTGCAATGAAATGATAATCCAAGTGCTCACTATCGAAGAGATTGATGAGCTTCATTAGGAGGTACTCTTCCCTTGTTATCGCGATTTTTCGGAAGATCGATGTGATACTGTTTTGGACAACATTTGCAAGAGAGCCGAGGAAACTTGATAACCTGCAAATATTTTTCATTGTTTCGAGGAAATCTGACTTAACTGAGCGGCTTACGTCTCGTCTTGGCGTTCCGATGGAGTGAAATAGATACCACTTCCAAATATTATGCCGTCATGCGCTTGTCCATATGTCCAGTACGAGAGCATTAAACAGATGATTTTGCACAGCTGGCGGGTTACAAGCTTCACCTGGAAATGGAGTGATTTTTATGGTCTCGACATAGAAGGTTTGTCTACTCCTTATCATTGTAACGACTAAGTAGCCCTTCAAGAGTTGTTGGGCCGACATTTTTTTCCTAAGTTTCAGTAGTTCCTCATTCAGAGCCTTAGAAAATGAAGCCACTTATGACTCCAACCAAATGTCTATGGATCTTACCGAACTTCTTAACCGCTTGCGTACCTAGCACCTGTAGTCACGGTGAGTTTTTCTCAAGTGCTTTTGTCTTTGTTAAGTGGGTTTGAGCCCAAACTTTGCCTTTAATCACCTTCTCATGGACGTCCATTAACCGCAACTCCGGCACACCGGCCACCCATTCAAAGTAGTGTGCCACATCTCGACACCACATAGCCTTTAGATTTCCCAGAGTAAGCTGTCGTTTGCTGTTTGTTTCGGTCTAAATTATTGGTATGAGCATAGAAGGTATAATGTGCTGATACAATACTTCCAGGTGAACGAAGTAGATAATATCTCATCTGGCCAAAAAGTCAAACTTTTACTCTACATTAAACTCTGAAACTCATATTTGAAAACGATTTCTTCTATGGAAAAGAATATTGAACAAATGCTAACCGGTATTCTGGGGGAGATTCTCTGTGGAAAGTGAAGGGCTTCCTCGAGTGAGATGTCAACTGAACAGCTCGGCGTTGATTCGTAGAAGCTTGCCTCAGGGGCGTCGCAATATCTGAACAATGGTCATGAATTATGTCGGAAAATGCACAAACAGGACTGAAGGGAGAAGGAATTACTGATATGGTAATAACACCACATTAATGCGATAAACCTGCAGACCATAACGGAATGAGGTCATCGGCAACCTTTCTTTTTCAACTCACATTTCCAGGTTGTTGAAGCTGGATAGTAACTGCTCGATATTCAAGCCACTGAATTCATGGCGACGTGGTGGCCAAACAGAGATGCTGGCTGAAAAGGAGGGTTACTGAAAAAACGAAAAATATCAAACACAAACACTACTGAAATTTCTGTCTACAACTGAAGACTTGACCGTTTTGTACCGGAAAATCTTTCCTGAAGTTCCCAAAACAGTTTTCGCAATTTCGCACTGCAAATGCCACAAAATGAAGGGCCTCCCTTTTTCAATCAAAAATGACGAAGCGATCGCAAGGCGGCTAAAAACTAGCCGTATTCCCCGGGATTATTTATTGTTCGCTTTCCGTGTCCCTATTAATATTTCACATGAAAAGGATAGCTGCCCACAAGTTGCTTCATTGGATCGCTCGCATCATATCATTCAAGTTTCTCATTTTCATCCGCTCATGTAGAAAAGCGGATAAAGCGTTAGGTATTAGTCAATCCGTTGTTGATGCGAGATGCGCCACGCGACCTCGCATCAACAACGGATTGATGACGCGCCGCGACCTCCATTCGGAATGCTAGTGATAGCTTGTTCCTAAACAATGACTTGACGAGACCAACGAGAATGTATTCTCGGGGCAGTTTTTAATCTATCAGCGGTCTCGTAGCTATCATCTGAGGTCGGATGGATGGAAGGCATGGTTCAGCTGGGTGGCGTGTGATACAGGCCTTCTCCATGCATTTTGAACGGCGCCATCGCAGTCAAATTAATAACTTCGGCAAAATCTAGAACTCCTCTGAAATAGCAAAATTTCTGCTATCTCGACTCGAAAGTGTGCAACGAAAGTCTATTGCTCTGGTAGGACCGCCTTCTTTCTCGCCCTGCAATACCAGCGTCGGTGCACGTCTACCCTCTCGCTGTCCGGCTATGGTCGTTCAGCGAGAAAGCGATCGCGTTGAAGGGAACATCACCGATGAGAGTCAGCTCAATGCGCAAATCATGGGCAAAGGAGGGGTCTCTTTTCTCGAGTTGAGCCTTTCTCATGGTTTTTCTGCACCACTGACCACCTCTGCCTTGATTCTAATGTATCTTTTCATCGTGAACTCCGCTTGTACGGAAGAAGTCGGGGAAGGGAGAGACAAAACCGAATTCCACATACATTGACCTGTGTTTGCAATTCATTGAGGGTCGAACTTGCGACCAAGATGGTTCTATCTGAACATTACGGCGGGTATGGCAGACGGAGAATCAATTTGAATGTCATTTTTTCATTATTTTTGGATGAACAAGCCACCGGATTTGTCCGAGAGGAGAGGCCCGCAGAAAAATTGAGGGGGTCGTATGCCACCTAGATCTTGCCAGTTTCGTCGCACAACTTGATGCGTTTAGCGCTAATCCTTAGCCAGCCTTGCAAAAAATGACCGCGCACAACGAGTCCGCCACCAATGGGCGACATGATTGTAGAGATCAAGCGTGCCTCTTTCAACACGGTTCGTGCTCTTCGCGTGCTTGCCTTCTTTGAACGCGGAGTCGCAACTATGAACCATTCTAAGGCTGCTTTCATAGTTCGCATCGGTGCGGTCGGTGCCGACGGCGCCGACGGCGCCGACCGCACCGACAGTGTGAAGAGCGTCAATACGCACTCTGGCGCATGACGCGAACGTTGGGCGCAGATCGCGCGCTCCGATCGATAATCCTGGTTTTGGTGTATTTCTTGTGCTTTTCGATGTTTTTTTCGCGCCGTTTGTTGCTTTAATTCGTGTGTTTCCTGTTCATACTTATTCTTTTATGGGCGCAATGTGGCTCGGGGGGGGGGAAGTCGGTGCGCGGCTCAGCGATGTAGTGTAACTCGAACATTCCAGCTTTTCACGGGACATTTCAGCTTCTCACGCATGCTAAGTGACTGCCCTCACCCCCCCCCCCCCCTTGAATTGGCCACACCCCCTGGCTTGCGAATTTCCTGTTGCCGCAACGCCCCGCGCGGCGGCTGTCCCCCCCCCTCCGAGCCACATTGCGCCCTTTTATGTCTTGATTAATACTTTCCAGTTGTTCCGCGGGCGAGCGACGTCGTGAACCCGTCGCACAACTCCGGGTGGATGTGGCCATACCGGGTGTGTTGGTCGTAAGCAATTTTGTTTATTCATATGAAGTGAGTGCAAAAAACATCGAAAAAATACAAGAAATACACCAAAACCAAGATTATCGACCGGAGCGCCCCATCTGCGCCCAGCGCACGCGTCATGCGCCAGAGCGCGTGTTGACGCTCTTCACACTGTCGGTGCGGTCGGCGCCGTCGGCGCCGTCGGCACCGACCGCACCGATGCGAACTATGAAAGCAGCCTAACCTTTGCAGGTGGTGAATGCCTTTTTATAGCTTTACACCTGTTTGCTCCCCTTGCTTTCCTTTCCACTTTCAAGCTTTCATTCGCAGCCCTCAGCATATAATGTATGGAAGCGCTGCTTATACACCAGCTCTATCCCGGGTTTGCTTTAATCATTACTTGCCAGGATAAGTAGGAACTATGAAACTTCTATCTGCACCATTTTTGGAAAGGGGAGTACAGTGACAACTTCTTGAATTAGAGTCCGCGATCAAAACTGTCTTTCTGCACTTGCAAGTGACAGTGGAGATGCGATGTGTAACGTCAGTGATGAAAAAGCGGGAAGAGGCCGACAACAAGGAAGAAAATAGAGACCCTTTCTCAGGTGCCGCTGAAGCGAAATAGCACTAGTTAGCCCCGCCCTGCAGGCCAACACTGCATCCTAGGGCCTTTGCACCTCGAGGATTTTAGAATCAGTATTATTGCCATGCACTCTGCTATCTGCATGGGGGTGAAGGCCTATTTCGTCATCAAAATGCGGACTTCTCTTTGACAGTACACAACTGCTCGCATCCCTAGGATTGAAGGAATCCTCCCGGAAAAAATCTTGCATTATTTCCTAACATGCATATGTCAGTTATAATCTCTTAGCGACAACATACAAATTCACAACCAGGGTCAGTTTCCGAGAAGGAACAAACTTACAAAACCCGCACATTAGACAGGGAATTTATCTACCCTAAAATCCCATAGATAAGAGCGGTTTAATTTACCGGTGAAAAATGAATTGGAATGAAATTGAAATTGAATGCAGTCACCCCTCTAACTTGATGGATGGATAAATAAAAATCGGAGAAGAAGTTTAGAAGAAGCTCCGTCCCTCAACTCTAAACCCCGCCCACTTAATAAACAATTCATATAGAAAAATAGCGATTTTAACGGAATTTCTGCCGGAATCTCTCTAGAAATGCCGGAATTTGATCTCTGGATAGAACTTGAAGAGCCCATTCGATCAGTAAAATTCCATAGATAAGAGCGGTTTAATTTACCGGTAAAAAATGATTTTGAAAAAATATTTTTATTTTTATTTTATTTTTGAAAAAATATCTATGGACCGCTCTTATCTATGGGATTTTAGGGTAATAGGTAATGGGGCGCGAAGCCAAAGGAGGAATGGAAGGCGTTCTGCCTTGGAGCGGTCACGCATCAGGAGAATCACTGTGACAACTACGCGGTAAATGCCGTGCCGATCCTTTTGCGAGAGTTTATAGAAAAATCGATCAATAGAATAGGTATGCGGGGGTTTTAGAAAAAAGGGGGGAGATGTGAATGCAATAAGTCAAAAGGACAGAAAGAGTTTCTAGTGACGGCACTTCCGAGAACCAAGCAACAAGCGTTCCCGTCGCCGGCTTTTGTGACAGAAGTGCGGCGGTACTTTGAACACGTAGAACTCCTTTCGTTTCTTCGAATTTTTACTAGTACAATGCATTTTTTGTTCTTGTCGTGAACGACGGGTCCCAAGCCAGTGAATTAGGGGTGAGATGGAACCACGATTTTCTCGAGAAGAATTCCTTCAATACATAGTTCTCCCTAATTAGTTGTGATATGAACCTACAAAGCGAGTTTGATCGAAAACAATGTCAGGCAGATCATCACTCTCGTCGTATTCGCTGTCGTCGTCCTCATAATGGTGATTCGTACGAGGGATTAAAGCCATTCTTCCTGGAATGAAATTCGCTTCTTAGAATGAAGCGAAAATGAAAAGATTAAATTCAGTCCAAACAATTCTCAGCATTGAAGAATAAACGGAAATAGAGGAAGGCAAACACCGAAACATTAATGTAGGAACCGGAGCAATCGGTTGAGAGTACCTAACGAATTGTTCATAATTTGTCTTAGTATTAAGCTGTACCGGAGCCTCATCAGGACCTAAATTTGAACAACATAGAGAGCACCAAAAGTTTTATTCCAAAAGAATTCCAAAAGTTCACAAAAGTCCAAATACTCCAAAAAGAAGCCAAAAATAAAGAAGAATTCCTTTGGAAATCTCCGCGATATTTCGGTGTATAACACCTTCTTCAGGCATGAAAAATACATTGATTATAGCTAATATAATTATTCCTCCTTCAAATCCCGCGTAGGTACCCACATGAATTTACCTAAGGTGATTTGGAAAAAATCCATATGGTTATCTATGGGGATTTGGAATACCACTAAATAATTATACAAGCTATAGCTATTATACTAGCTATCAATGTATTTCAGGCCTGAAGAAGGTGTTATACACCGAAATATCGCGGAAGTTTCCAAAGGAATTCTTTTTGATTTTTGGCTTGTTTTTTGGAGTATTTGGACTTTTGTGAACTTTTGGAATTCTTTTGGAATAAAACTTTTGGTACCTCTTGTGTTATACGAGTGTATATAACTTGACCTTCCTATTCCAAATCACTATTTAATGTAGACCATTTTTCAGATTTTGCACACTTAAAGCCACCACTTGGGATCAGGGCCAAGAAGTGATCTCTCTTAGAGTATAGAAAATTGGTTTCCAAAAGCAGGGGGCGCGACACTGTTGCGAGTTGAAAGTGCGGAACAACGACACTAACCAGGAAAGGCATTCAACTTCCCATGGAACTTTGAATTGAGACCCAGATATATCGATAGAGCTTCAAACGCTGATTACAAATATGGAAACTAAAACTGCAAAATGAACCTGCCAAGGAAGTTGTGAGCAGTCAAAGTTGGCTGGAAGTAAAGCGCTGTACATATGGAAACAGTGCTAGCTTCGAAGTCGCCGTGGAGTAGTGGTACACACGCTCCAGCGCAGGTTCAGTTAGTTCTATTTCGCATTTCGTGCAAACTTAAAACCCCGCGACTCTGAAGCCCAAGGTTTAGCACGGTTTGTAACGCCTTACTTGCTGCCAATTCTCAACCGCTCAAACATTCTTTGCAAATTCATTCTGGAGTTTTCGTCTCCACAAATTGCAAATGTTTGAGCTAGCCCGTCAATATCTGGGTTATATTCAAAGTTTTCGTGGGAGGTGAATGGTTTACCTGTAGGTTATTGTGGGCTCGGGGAGGCGGGGGGGGCTTCGTATTTGCCTTTCTATCGAGTCGCGGCATAGTGCTGGTCGCCCTTCACCATGCGCCGTGTTCTCTCGCGTTTTCCTACTCCCCGCAGAGCTAAGTCTCTTCGTCATATGACGGCAGACTTCGCAAATTAAAATTCAACGTTCTTATAGCTCTTTTCGCTCATAGCTCCTATACCGCTCCTCATCGCACAATTTATTTAATTTCTGAACAAACTAACACACCGATTCGATCGCGACTGTGCCTTTGACGCTATAGGTTTAATGATCCGCGGGTCTGTCTTCCCGCAAAATTGGTTAAGGGCGTTGAAAAGGCTAATAAAAAAGAAGCGACTGCTGATTAGTCAGGCAGGTACATCAAGCCGTAGCAATAACTACACGAAATATCCATTCCAATTAGATAAGTGGTGCAAGGCAAATGGCATGTAATACGCGCGCGTTCCGAGGATTGCATGGGTTCGTGCGCACTCGGCCACCCAACCTTACCCTGGCTGGTAGGTACGGCTGTCCGGAGATAAAAACACCTGACTTGAGAGGGCTCGCCGCAAGTCATGATAGGGCAAATCGCATTCAAAGTTCTCTGGAATCGTATAATTGGAAGTAGATGCGACCGCATCTCAAAAAGGTAACCAGATCCACGGAAAATCGATTTACCTTATCTTTATCTTAAGGCAGTGGCTCTCGTTACGGTGTAACCTATTTATCTTCGGGGCGTGCAGGGCTGTCTTTGCCAAAACATGCCGGTACTCCGACCAGTCGTAGCAACGAAATACGGTAAAAGTTTTATGTGGCTGAGCCTGATGGGAGGCAGTGAGGACTTATAAAGTATGCTCATTATTGTGCGCAGAATGCAGAGGTAGCGAGATCTGCAGGAAGGAGGATCATAGCTCGTTCTGAGGGTTGGTCTCAAAAAAGTTCAGAAAAAGAAGGGTAGAGTACACAACGCGTAAAAACCCGACGTATCAGCAGAAATTCTCCTCATTCACAGTGGTCACTAAAGGAGCGCAATGAAGTGCCACCTGCAGTGCGCATTCATGTGTAGCGTGGAACGGTGATAATTTCAGATGTCATTTTGAGAAAGCTGAAATATGTCGTAGATCTTTGCAACGACAACTTCCATTTCTTGAACCTTGAGTTAGTGATCGATTTCTCCCTTAGCTACTTCGAGTTATATAAAAGCTTCGAGCTAATGAGTCTCTTCAAGTACTCTGACAATAAAAGATCGCGAAAACTGGGTTCGTTCCCTACTGATGCTATATGTTTTGCCCTAACCGTGGTCACCTCCACAGGACGAACTGTGACAAGAAAGTAGTCAACAAAACAAAACTTCGAATTGCATTCTCATTTTGTGACCTTATGGATGAGCTCCGAAAATTTGTCAAATCCTTTAGGATGGAGAAAGGTATCAGGAAGACTTTACCCCTTTGACGACAATGCGGATCTGCATATAGCGTGCTCGTGGGACCACTCTTTTTGGCGCGCCCAACTCTCGCTCAACATTGGGCAAAATTGTCTCTTGAAGCAGTTTTTCTATCGAATTTTGACTTTAGCAATATCCCAAACACAGCTGCAATCTTTAGCTTTCATACTACATATTGCTGGGAGAGAGAATTGGAAGTCTTGAAGGGGAACTCAGATTTCGAGGGATGGAGGGTAAAAACTCTAGAAGGTTATGTGTGCAGTG